ATATATTGATGTATACACTACCAACAATGATTGGTTATATATTGATGTATACACTACCAACAATGATTGGTTATATATTGATGTATACAGGTATATATTGATGTATACACTACCAACAATGATTGGTTATATATTGATGTATACAGGTACACTACCAACAATGATTGGTTATATATTGATGTATACACTACCAACAATGATTGGTTATATATTGATGTATACAGGTACACTACCAACAATGATTGGTTATATATTGATGTATACAGGTACACTACCAACAATGATTGGTTATATATTGATGTATACAGGTACACTACCAACAATGATTGGTTATATATTGATGTATACACTACCAACAATGATTGGTTATATATTGATGTATACAGGTACATATTGATGTATACACTACCAACAATGATTGGTTATATATTGGTTATATATATTGATGTATACACTACCAACAATGATTGGTTATATATTGATGTATACACTACCAACAATGATTGGGTTATATATTGATGTATACACTACCAACAATGATTGGTTATATATTGATGTATACAGGTACACTACCAACAATGATTGGTTATATATTGATGTATACAGGTACACTACCAACAATGATTGGTTATATATTGATGTATACAGGTACACTACCAACAATGATTGGTTATATATTGATGTATACAGGTACACTACCAACAATGATTGGTTATATATTGATGTATACACTACCAACAATGATTGGGTTATATATTGATGTATACACTACCAACAATGATTGGTTATATATTGATGTATACAGGTACACTACCAACAATGATTGGTTATATATTGATGTATACAGGTACACTACCAACAATGATTGGTTATATATTGATGTATACAGGTACACTACCAACAATGATTGGTTATATATTGATGTATACAGGTACACTACCAACAATGATTGGTTATATATTGATGTATACAGGTACACTACCAACAATGATTGGTTATATATTGATGTATACAGGTACACTACCAACAATGATTGGTTATATATTGATGTATACACTACCAACAATGATTGGTTATATATTGATGTATACACTACCAACAATGATTGGTTATATATTGATGTATACACACTACCAACAATGATTGGTTATATATTGATGTATACAGGTACACTACCAACAATGATTGGTTATATATTGATGTATACACTACCAACAATGATTGGTTATATATCGATGTATACAGGTACACTACCAACAATGATTGGTTATATATTGATGTATATATTGATGTATACACTACCAACAATGATTGGTTATATATTGATGTATACAGGTACACTACCAACAATGATTGGTTATATATTGATGTATACAGGTACACTACCAACAATGATTGGTTATATATTGATGTATACACTACCAACAATGATTGGTTATATATTGATGTATACACTACCAACAATGATTGGTTATATATTGATGTATACAGATACACTACCAACAATGATTGGTTATATATTGATGTATACAGGTACACTACCAACAATGATTGGTTATATATTGATGTATACAGGTATATATTGATGTATACAGGTACTACCAACAATGATTGGTTATATATTGATGTATACAGGTACACTACCAACAATGATTGGTTATATATTGATGTATACACTACCAACAATGATTGGTTATATATTGATGTATACACTACCAACAATGATTGGTTATATATTGATGTATACACTACCAACAATGATTGGTTATATATTGATGTATACATTGGTACACTACCAACAATGATTGGTTATATATTGATGTATACACTACCAACAATGATTGGTTATATATTGATGTATACACTACCAACAATGATTGGTTATATATTGATGTATACACTACCAACAATGATTGGTTATATATTGATGTATACAGGTACACTACCAACAATGATTGGTTATATATTGATGTATACAGGTACACTACCAACAATGATTGGGTTATATATTGATGTATACACTACCAACAATGATTGGTTATATATTGATGTATACACTACCAACAATGATTGGTTATATATTGATGTATACACTACCAACAATGATTGGTTATATATTGATGTATACATTACCAACAATGATTGGTTATATATTGATGTATACACTACCAACAATGATTGGTTATATATTGATGTATACACTACCAACAATGATTGGTTATATATTGATGTATACAGGTACAATACCAACAATGATTGGTTATATATTGATGTATACACTACCACCAATGATTGGTTATATATTGATGTATACACTACCAACAATGATTGGTTATATATTGATGTATACACTACCAACAATGATTGGTTATATATTGATGTATACACTACCAACAATGATTGGTTATATATTGATGTACATATTCATGTATACACTACCAACAATGATTGGGTTATATATTGATGTATACAGGTACACTACCAACAATGATTGGTTATATATCGATGTATACACTACCAACAATAATTGGTTATATATTGATGTATATATATTGATGTATACACTACCAACAATGATTGGTTATATATTGATGTATACAGGTACACTACCAACAATGATTGGTTATATATTGATGTATACACTAACAACAATGATTGGGTTATATATTGATGTATACACTACCAACAATGATTGGTTATATATTGATGTATACAGGTACACTACCAACAATGATTGGTTATATATTGATGTATACAGGTACACTACCAACAATGATTGGTTATATATTGATGTATACACTACCAACAATGATTGGTTATATATTGATGTATACACTACCAACAATGATTGGTTATATATTGATGTATACAGGTACACTACCAACAATGATTGGTTATATATTGATGTATACAGATTGGTATATATTGATGTATACAGGTACCAACAATGATTGGTTATATATTGATGTATACAGATTGGTTATATATTGATGTATACAGGTACTACCAACAATGATTGGTTATATATTGATGTATACAGGTACACTACCAACAATGATTGGTTATATATTGATGTATACAGGTACACTACCAACAATGATTGGTTATATATTGATGTATACAGGTACACTACCAACAATGATTGGTTATATATTGATGTATACAGGTACACTACCAACAATGATTGGTTATATATTGATGTATACAGGTACACTACCAACAATGATTGGTTATATATTGATGTATACACTACCAACAATGATTGGGTTATATATTGATGTATACAGGTAGACATTTCAAAATGAAGAAAAACCTTTTTTCGACTTTTATGTCACATAATAAGAGATAAATTTATCGTGACAACTCAATTAACCTTTTTTTTTCTTGAAATCATATAATACTATAGTCATTATCACTCACAATATACAAAGATCACACTTAAAAAACAGATCAAGACAGAAATACTATGAACGAACGTTTTAACTTATTTCGAAAGACACAAACGAAATTTGCAATGTGTTACATTGCTCGATGAAGTATGGCATACAAACTGACAGTCGTTTTCTCTTATAATTAAATGTGAACATCATATTTCGATTAAAAAAAACTTTTTATAATTATTGTATTGATGTAATCTAAAGTGAAATTAATTGTTTCCTGTTGAAGATCATCTATATTTCATACACACGAGGGAAAAATAGATTCCATACACACGAGGGAAAAATAGATTTCATACACACGAGGAAAAAATAGATTTCATACACACGAGGGAATAATAGATTTCATACACACGAGGGAATAATAGATTTCATACACACGAGGGAATAATAGATTTCATACACACGAGGGAATAATAGATTTCATACACACGAGGGAAAAATAGATTTCATACACACGAGGAAAAAATAGATTTCATACACACGAGGGAATAATAGATTTCATACACACGAGGGAATAATAGATTTCATACACACGAGGGAATAATAGATTTCATACACACGAGGGAAAAATAGATTTCATACACACGAGGGAAAAATAGATTTCATACACACGAGGGAAAGATAGATTTCATACACACGAGGAAAAAATAGATTTCATACACACGAGGGAATAATAGATTTCATACACACGAGGGAAAAATAGATTTCATACACACGAGGGAAAAATAGATTTCATACACACGAGGGAATAATAGATTTCATACACACGAGGGAATAATAGATTTCATACACACGAGGGAAAAATAGATTTCATACACACGAGGGAAAAATAGATTTCATACACACGAGGAAAAAATAGATTTCATACACACGAGGGAATAATAGATTTCATACACACGAGGGAAAAATAGATTTCATACACACGAGGGAAAAATAGATTTCATACACACGAGGGAAAAATAGATTTCATACACACGAGGGAATAATAGATTTCATACACACGAGGGAATAATAGATTTCATACACACGAGGGAAAAATAGATTTCATACACACGAGGGAAAAATAGATTTCATACACAAAAAGGAATATACATACTAAAAGATATAAACATACTAATATAATAAAACAATCATGTTTACCGTATTTTACAAAATTAAATCGGAATGTTTCTTCAAACCTAGTATCTAAAGTTATGTATTTCTACTCTCCTTGTTTTGTGACAAAACCATTTTCTGTGTATCAGTTGAAACTAGCGACGTATTCAAAAGTCATCGATGGAGACGCTTATATAGAGCAGTATGAAGTATTTTGTCCATGAGATTTGATATGTGGCCGAAAATAAAGAATCCTGCGGATAGAAATTTGTTTGGATTTTTTTTAGATTCGAACCCTACATTTACAAACCTAGACCAGACCTTGATCTACCTGGACACGGATACCCCGCCCACCACTCTACTTACACTGATCTATAGCGATGTCGATCCGAAGTATACTGTACTTACTGTCGCCATGACGGCAACATCAAGCGAGTTTACATCTTTTTTCGTGTTTATTTTCAGATTCGAACCCTACATTTACAAACCTAGACCAGACCTTGACCTACTTGGACACGGATACCCCGCCCACCACCTTGCTCACGTTAACCTTCACTGATAGTGATCCACAGGATACCGCACTAACTGTCGCCATGACAACTACATCAACACAGTTTCAAATAGATGCGACATGTATGTATATCAAATTCACAGGTATATTTTTTTCCGTAGACGCATCCTCGATACTCCTTGGGTTACGATTACTTTCGCTCTCTGCAACCCTGGCAACATGTTTGGTACAAGCGAAGTACTTTGATTGGTTCCAGGAGCATAAATCTTACAGCGAAGTAATTTGATTGGTTCCAGGAGCATAAATCTTACAGCGAAGTAATTTGATTGGTTCCAGGAGCATAAATCTTACAGCGAAGTAATTTGATTGGTTCCAGGAGCATAAATCTTACAGCGAAGTGATTTGATTGGTTCAAGGAGCATAAATCTTACAGCGAAGTGATTTGATTGGTTCCAGGAGCATAAATCTTACAGCGAAGTGATTTGATTGGTTCCAGGAGCATAAATCTTACAGCGAAGTAATTTGATTGGTTCCAGGAGCATAAATCTTACAGCGAAGTAATTTGATTGGTTCCAGGAGCATAAATCTTACAGCGAAGTGATTTGATTGGTTCCAGGAGCATAAATCTTACAGCGAAGTAATTTGATTGGTTCCAGGAGCATAAATCTTACAGCGAAGTAATTTGATTGGTTCCAGGAGCATAAATCTTACAGCGAAGTGATTTGATTGGTTCCAGGAGCATAAATCTTACAGCGAAGTAATTTGATTGGTTCCAGGAGCATAAATCTTACAGCGAAGTAATTTGATTGGTTCCAGGAGCATAAATCTTACCAATTACAGGCTGATACGTTCATTTTGAAAATTACAAAGGAGTGACTCTCAACTTCAGAGCCTTTATCACAATTTACAGTTATGCGACTTTTAGATTTGTTTGATGTACATCAAAGGATCAAACTAGTTTTTTCGTCTTGTCCACAAGGTGTCGCACACTGAACGTTCCATTTTGCCATGACATTTTCCAGGGGTGTAGAGAGCGAAAAAGATGTTGTAACCCTAGGAGTATGAAGGATGCCGAGGTGAAGCTGTGTAATGTGACATTTGATGTATCCATTCAACCGATTAAATCAGTTAAAATGAAACACGATGAAGGGATATCTTTCACTTGTAATGTTTTGTAAAACACAGGCTGCGCTGGAAGTTGTTATTGATGTGTTGATAATTTCGGTAACAAGCTCCGCCAGTCTCCTGCATGATTGGCTTTACGGAGTGCAGGGTACATTCAAGTTCTCACGGTGTGCTTTAGTTTCCAGACTAAAACACAGCCAGGCACTTTCATACATAGTAAATGATACAGAGGATTATTATAAGGAAAACGCTTCACCTCTTTCTGTTTACTAACTAAACTTTTCACAAAATAACGATTTATAGTCAGCTTAGTCTGGTTACTCAACCAAGTTTTCTTAATGCCCCAGTAGATCATTAGACAGTATTATTGACTTTTGTGAAATCACGCTTTGTCACAATAGTGACTCAACATGATCTTTGACCTTTGCTTTGTAAACACTGAATCGCGTTCCCTGAATGAACAAGTTTTTATTTTTCTATTTCTTTTTTGTTTTTTCGTTTTCGAAAACAAATTATATGTAGTTAGACCTTTGTTAGGATCAAATAAAATATATTTCACTTGTCAGATCAAGTCCAGCCACAGACTGGTCAATGGTCAGTTGGAACGTACCCACTTACTTTCACCGTTACTGACCAGTGTGGTAATGTTGGTAGTGGAACTCTCACTGTGGAGATCACCAACACCGTGAGTACACATAATGTGATGACGTAGAACTCAAAATTTAGTGACGTCAATGATAAATACGAATGGAAAAACTACCACTGACTTTCTTCGCAATGATAATGAATAGAATATAAACACCTTTGGATCATAAAGGATATTTTTAGTGTCCTGTGGTATCAATCTAAATTTTGTTTGTATATTTTTATTTTCTTAAGGCACCGGATATGACAGCCATGGCTACGGCAGCTAGCGTAAAGGAGGACGTGGTTGTCCAGACTCATTTGACAGACCTGACAGTGACAGACGTCCAGGGGTACAGTTGTACCTACACAGGTTCCCACCCATTCAACGTTCAGCCGAAAACAACCGGAAGTACAAGTTAGTACTTCTAACCAAATGTCAACATTTAAATATGTCAGACAATCTCTAACTAATTATTTTTTTCCGGTTTCTGAGTGTCATGTCTTTTAAAACAAAAACAAAATGTCAACAAGTCAACATAATCATAATCCAAATTCAAATTCCATAAAACAAGGACAAATATTAACAAAAGAAAGATTTATACGGAAACTCATAAAAAAGAATAAAAACAGAGGTGTTCCGTAAGAGTAAGCGTCTTCTACTTCATTGACGACACTGGACATGTAAATCCTGGTTAATCCTAGTCAATAATGTCTCAAATGAAAACAAGGTATACAATTAAGGAGATATAAACAATCATTTCATATTGTTTAAGCATGAACTTTATAGCCCCTAATTAAGTTAACCAACCTCAGTGTTTATCTTCTCCACGACATGCGAATAGACATGCACATGAATAAAGAATGTAAGTTACATATGTTTTGGTGTGTTTGGTGTTTTGGTATGGGCGATGTCTACAACTACAATAGAACATTGTTTACAAGTGAAGAGATAGGAGAGTCATCTAGATGTACTGGTATTTACATTTACAAAACGTAAATTAAAACATATTGTGATCATTCGCTCTTGGGCCATTACACAGTGTTCGTCGTTATCAAAGCCACTCATGTAAGATCACCTATTACTTAAACATTAACTACCAAATGGATGTTAAAAATACCAAATTTGTCGCTGTTCTGGACATACGGATAAATTGATTATTTTTAAATTTGATTTGGAAATCAATCGATATCAACTCTAGCTAATTATATACACCAAATAAAATCGACAATCCTAATTTTTTTTTTTTTTTCATTTTGGATCACATTCGCGTCCTAGACTTTAAAATTAAGGCCCTAAGCATCACTGACGAGTCCTAGAAGGGCGAAACATAATACAGTTTAATTTATTGTTTGGCTCTACTGTATCTAATTCTGAATCATTAAAAGTGTTGTTCACATATTTGTCCTTTTCCCAGGTTCAAATAATCTCATGGCACCAATAAAGAATCGAGGCCAAATAGTGTAAAGTTAATCGTCCTTACTATATCGATGATGACATAAAACTTTCCATTTAACGAAAGACAATATGGTAGAAAAAGATAAATAGTTTAATCGTAAATATATGAAATCCATTTCAAAACAGAATTGTATTCTTGTAATTTTTCCATGCCTTACTCGGATTGGTTAAAGTTTACGTGGCGGGTGTTGTCAATGAAGCCGGAAACGCTTACTCTTTCGAAACACCTGGTCTCTTTCTCCTTGTGTTCCTTGTAAATCTTTCTTTTGTTTATATTCTGCCCCAGTTGTATTAAGTTTGAGTTTTGATTGTAATGTTGGTATTTATGTGGTTATCCATGAAACTATACACAAGAGAATAATATATCTAATATTAATCACAAGACACAATCGTGTAGCCTAACAGAATATTAAACTTTAAATTAAATTATACACCTGTTTCGTCATTCTATCACTCGTCAGTAATGCTAAGGGCCTAAAACGATAAAACGAGGAGGAGACTGAAAAAGAAATATCAAAATCTAGAAGGATAGATAGACACTCTTATCAGTCCTATTATGGCAAAGATGCTATTTCTTAATCTTTTACGTGAATATTTCAGCATATTCTTTATTCCTGAATGGCGAGGCCAATCTAAATTACAACACACAGAACCAGTACACGCTGACCATCACGTGCACAGACAATCTGGGTTTGTCCTCCACCAAAGATATCGTGGTCAGCATCACAGAAAATGCCTCGCCTTCTATGAACAACATTCCGAGTAAGTATATGTAATGGTTAAAACACGATGAATATAACTACGAATTTCACAATGATCAAAGTCAATAACATCTCCATTCACCATTCATAGCTGATATCATTAGAATATCCTACGGCAACGTGATTTATTTTATTTAATATCTATGTCTGCTTACCTACCATGTTTATAGCTATTTAAATGCGTCTCAATATCCTCCTCCTTTGTGATATGGCTTGAAATAATTGAAATAATAATTCAAATTATATGCTGCTGGCATTCATTTTAATGCGCAACAACAAAATATTTGAAAGCAAGTTATTATTTTTTTTTAATGAACAAAAAGAAATAAATAAACTATGAACCTTCAAAATAACGCTTTATATGACATCACGTGTTCCATTGTATAACTAGCGTAAGAGTAATCATTATGTTGTAAGGCATTAGCTTGTAGTGTTTTCTTGATTCTGCATTTCTGTTGTTGTTTTTCTTTCTTTATTCATTTTTTTAATTTTTTTTATTTATTTTTTTGTACTTTGTTATACTTTATTATATACTGTACCATTCAAAATGCAGCATACCATTAAGAAAATGCGGATTCGTTGTCAAGCATGTCTTCATGAGATAATGCTAAAATCCTGAAAAAACCCAACAAATTTCAATCAAATGCCAGATCAAAAAGTCGCGCCGAATATGTCCTTTTCAGTCAAACTTTAATTGTAGTTTCTAATCTTAAGATAACGTTTCCATAGCACACAATTTTACGCGTCCTTATTAACTGCTTTATAAATATCAGTGCAGATTTTACCACGATGTTTCCATTAACTATGATTACCACTGAAATATGATGTGATACTTGCCACTAAATAGTAACGTTCTTGTAGACGCTGTAGATGTGGACACGCTGGCCACCACAACCAGTACAGAGATATTCTCGATAGCAGGAGTAGATACAGATTCCACGAACTTATTTTACAACATGACATGTACTCCTGTCAACTGTCCATTCCAAGTCCTTAGTTGTGAGTATATTTAAGGAAGAAAACCAGTACATACCTAATTAATCTGGAAAGCCTTTCGATTAGAAAGCTCTATACAAATTGCATTGCCAATAATAAAATAACTCTACCCCTGTCAACTGTCCTAGTCCTCCGTTCTGAGTTAGTTCTTAAGAAGAAAACCATTCCATACCTTGATAACCTTCTTTCTATTAGAAAGTCCTATACAAAGTTATATTACCAATATAACGATAACTGTACCTCTCTTAACTCTCCGTTCAAAGACTGCCACTGTCAGCACTAACATTATTACCTGGAAGCTGGTATAAAATATACACAGGTGAATAACACCTCTCAACACAGATTTAAAATAAGATACGTCAGAACGAAAAGTGAAAATTAACTAAACCAATTCAGCTGTTTCGTCCTTCTAGGTCAGTGGTGATAGGGTTTACACTTTAAAAACCCAGAGGGAGACATATATATATATATGATAAATGTATCAGAGCTATATTTAAAACAATAGGATTCATAAATAGTAACATAACTTGAATTATTGTAAGACAATTTATCAATAAAATACAGATAAACTTATAGCGCCATTTAAAACTGAAGGGTGACGCATGCGCTTGTTAAATATGTACCTGTCTGATATTCATCACCAATCATCACCAGGAGAGAAACCTTTAAATGCATCACCATTATATATCCATGGTCAAAAAAGACAATAACTTAAATAAATTAAGATTTAAAAAAAGCTCGGGGCGCAACTGAAAACTAATTTACCTTATAGACCTTATTGCAGTACATTACATTGTAGATCTTAATTGAAACATCACTAATTCTGTCGATGTTATTGAAATGAATTATACTTTTTGAATGAAGCGGGGAAGATTGTGGCCACAGAAGATTTAAATTTACACAAGACACCAGCTTACGACATCAATGTTTGGATATATGACAAATGGTCACTTGTTGGTCCCGAGACTCTGAGTGTCACTCTAACAAGTAAGTAGTCCCTCAATACTTGAATATACATATTTATGAATTGGGGCTTTTTCGTGTTGAAAGAATTGTGCTCAAATATGACACGCCAATGATATTTTCTTCATTTTGTCGAATGATGCCGAAATTCATAATTACCTTACACATGATAATGTTTTAAGATTAATGTTTACAGTATATTTCTTTCTGGTGAAGAAATCTTACATGCTATCAATTTCAATATGTAAAAGATTAAGATATTGACATGAAACAAGTAAATTAAGACCATGTGATTAGGAAGAGTAAGCGTCTTGTACTTCTTCATCAGTGGAAGCTTTCAAAATATAATTACATAGTTTGGAACGCAAAAATTGTGAAAAAGACACACAAGTGAATAACACCTTTTAAGACAATTTAGAGTTTGATAGAATAGAGCTAGACAATGAAGTAAACTGCATCATACAGCTGTTCCTTCTAGGACACGTCAGTGATGATACATCATGCAGCTGTTTCGTCCTTCTAGGACTCGTCAGTGATGTTACATCATACAGCTGTTTGGTCCTTCTATGACTCGTCAGTTATGTTACATCATACAGCTGTTTGGTCCTTCTATGACTCGTCAGTGATGTTACATCATACAGCTGTTTGGTCCTTCTATAACTCGTCAGTGATGTTACATCATACAGCTGTTTGGTCCTTCTATGACTCGTCAGTGATGTTACATCATACAGCTGTTCCGTCCTTCTATGACACGTCAGTGATGTTACATCATACAGCTGTTCCGTCCTTCTATGACTCGTCAGTGATGTTACATCATACAGCTGTTCCGTCCTTCTATGACTCGTAAGTGATGTTACATCATACAGCTGTTTCGTCCTTCTAGGACTCGTCAGTGATGATACATCATACAGCTGTTCCTTCTAGGACTCGTCAGTGATGATACATCACACAGCTGTTCCGTCCTTCTAGGACTAGTCAGTGATGTTACATCATACAGCTGTTCCGTCCTTCTAGGACTCGTCAGTGATGTTACATCATACAGCTGTTCCTTCTAGGACTCGTCAGTGATGATACATCATACAGCTGTTCCGTCCTTCTAGGACTCGTCAGTGATGCTACATCATACAGCTGTTTCTTCTAGGACTCGTCAGTGATGATACATCATACAGCTGTTCCTTCTAGGACTCGTCAGTGATGCTACATCATACAGCTGTTTCTTCTAGGACTCGTCAGTGATGATACATCATACAGCTGTTCCTTCTAGGACTCGTCAGTGATGTTACATCATACAGCTGTTCCTTCTAGGACACGTCAGTGATGCTGCATCATACCGCTGTTCCTTCTAGGACTCGTCAGTGATGATACATCATACAGCTGTTCCTTCTAGGACTCGTCAGTGATGTTACATCATACAGCTGTTCCGTCCTTCTAGGACTCGTTAGTGATGTTACATCATACAGCTGTTCCTTCTAGGACTCGTCAGTGATGATACATCATACAGCTGTTCTGTCCTTCTAGGACTCGTCAGTGATGTTACATCACACAGCTGTTCCGTCCTTCTAGGACTCGTCAGTGATGTTACATCATACAGCTGTTCCTTCCTTCTAGGACTCGTCAGTGATGTTACATCACACAGCTGTTCCGTCCTTCTAGGACTCGTCAGTGATGTTACATTATACAGCTGTTCCGTCCTTCTAGGACTCGTCAGTGATGATACATCATACAGCTGTTCCGTCCTTCTTGGACTCGTCAGTGATGATACATCATACAGCTGTTCCTTCTAGGACTCGTCAGTGATGATACATCATACAGCTGTTCTGTCCTTCTAGGACTCGTCAGTGATGTTACATCATACAGCTGTTCCGTCCTTCTAGGACTCGTCAGTGATGATACATCATACAGCTGTTCCGTCCTTCTAGGACTCGTCAGTGATGATACATCATACAGCTGTTCCGTCCTTCTAGGACTCGTCAGTGATGCTACATCATACAGCTGTTCCATCTAGGACTCGTCAGTGATGATACATCATACAGCTGTTCCGTCCTTCTAGGACTCGTCAGTGATGATACATCATACAGCTGTTCCTTCTAGGACTCGTCAGTGATGTTACATCATACAGCTGGTCCTTCTAGGACTCGTCAGTGATGATACATCACACAGCTGTTCCGTCCTTCTAGGACTCGTCAGTGATGATACATCATACAGCTGTTCTGTCCTTCTAGGACTCGTCAGTGATGTTACATCACACAGCTGTTTCGTCCTTCTAGGACTCGTCAGTGATGTTACATCATACAGCTGTTCCGTGCTTCTAGGACTCGTCAGTGATGTTACATCATACAGCTGTTCCGTCCTTCTAGGACTCGTCAGTGATGTTACATCATACAGCTGTTTCTGTCCTTCTAGGACTCGTCAGTGATGATACATCATACAGCTGTTCCTTCTAGGACTCGTCAGTGATGCTACATCATACAGCTGTTCTGTCCTTCTAGGACTCGTCAGTGATGATACATCATACAGCTGTTCTGTCCTTCTAGGACTCGTCAGTGATGATACATCATACAGCTGTTCCTTCTAGAACTCGTCAGTGATGTTACATCATACAGCTGGTCCTTCTAGGACACGTCAGTGATGCTGCATCATACAGCTGTTCCGTCCTTCTAGGACTCGTCAGTGATGTTACATCATACAGCTGTTCCGTCCTTCTAGGACTCGTCAGTGATGTTACATCATACAGCTGTTCCTTCTAGGACTCGTCAGTGATGATACATCATACAGCTGTTCCGTCCTTCTAGGACTCGTCAGTGATGTTACATCACACAGCTGTTCCGTCCTTCTAGGACTCGTCAGTGATGTTACATCATACAGCTGTTCCGTCCTTCTAGGACTCGTCAGTGATGTTACATCATACAGCTGTTCCGTCCTTCTAGGACTCGTCAGTGATGATACATCATACAGCTGTTCCGTCCTTCTAGGACTCGTCAGTGATGATACATCATACAGCTGTTCCTTCTAGGACTCATCAGTGATGATACATCAAACAGCTGTTCCTTCTAGGACTCGTCAGTGATGATACATCATACAGCTGTTCCGTCCTTCTAGGACTCGTCAGTGATGTTACATCATACAGCTGTTCCGTCCTTCTAGGACTCGTCAGTGATGTTACATCATACAGCTGTTTCGTCCTTTTAGGACTCGTCAGTGATGATACATCATACAGCTGTTCCTTCTAGGACTCGTCAGTGATGATACATCATACAGCTGTTCCTTCTAGGACTCGTCAGTGATGATACATCACACAGCTGTTTCGTCCTTCTAGGACTCGTCAGTGATGTTACATCATACAGCTGTTCCTTCTAGGACTCGTCAGTGATGATACATCATACAGCTGTTCTGTCCTTCTAGGACTCGTCAGTGATGTTACATCACACAGCTGTTCCGTCCTTCTAGGACTCGTCAGTGATGATACATCATACAGCTGTTCCGTCCTTCTAGGACTCGTCAGTGATGCTACATCATACAGCTGTTCCTTCTAGGACTCGTCAGTGATGATACATCATACAGCTGTTCCTTCTAGGACTCGTCAGTGATGATACATCATACAGCTGTTCTGTCCTTCTAGGACTCGTCAGTGATGTTACATCACACAGCTGTTCCGTCCTTCTAGGACTCGTCAGTGATGAAACATCATACAGCTGTTCCGTCCTTCTAGGACTCGTCAGTGATGCTACATCATACAGCTGTTCCTTCTAGGACTCGTCAGTGATGATACATCATACAGCTGTTCCTTCTAGGACTCGTCAGTGATGATACATCATACAGCAGTCTCGTCCTTCTAGGACTCGTCAGTGATGATACATCATACAGCTGTTCTGTCCTTCTATGACTCGTCAGTGATGATACATCATACAGCTGTTCTGTCCTTCTAGGACTCGTCAGTGATGATACATCACACAGCTGTTTCGTCCTTCTAGGACTCGTCAGTGATGTTACATCATACAGCTGTTCCTTCTAGGACTCGTCAGTGATGATACATCATACAGCTGTTCTGTCCTTCTAGGACTCGTCAGTGATGTTACATCACACAGCTGTTCCGTCCTTCTAGGACTCGTCAGTGATGATACATCATACAGCTGTTCCGTCCTTCTAGGACTCGTCAGTGATGCTACATCATACAGCTGTTCCTTCTAGGACTCGTCAGTGATGATACATCATACAGCTGTTCCTTCTAGGACTCGTCAGTGATGATACATCATACAGCAGTCTCGTCCTTCTAGGACTCGTCAGTGATGATACATCATACAGCTGTTCTGTCCTTCTATGACTCGTCAGTGATGATACATCATACAGCTGTTCCGTCCTTCTAGGGCTCGTCAGTGATGATACATCATACAGCTGTTCTGTCCTTCTAGGACTCGTCAGTGATGTTACATCACACAGCTGTTTCGTCCTTCTAGGACTCGTCAGTGATGTTACATCACACAGCTGTTCCGTCCTTCTAGGACTCGTCAGTGATGTTACATCATACAGCTGTTCCGTCCTTCTAGGACTCGTCAGTGATGATACATCATACAGCTGTTCCGTCCTTCTAGGACTCGTCAGTGATGATACATCATACAGCTGTTCCTTCTAGGACTCGTCAGTGATGTTACATCATACAGCTGTTCCTTCTAGAACTCGTCAGTGATGCTGAGGACCTTAATTTGGAAGTCTAGTAGGAAACTCGGGAAAATCCAAAGTGATCGATAAAAGTCGAAATCTAGTTGGGGATTTGCACTAGCCCATAATTAATGTACAGTGTATAATTTTGGAACAAAATCAGGTACATGCGTTTATTTTAAACCGTGTCATTATTCAAATGACTAACACCGTGGCATGTAGGTTACGTACTAAATGTGTGTGCGTATATAAATAACGGGGTTGAGTGTCCATAGGGGCCGCGATGGCCTATTGGTTAAAGCCTCTGAGCGACTTTATCACTAGCGCTCAAACTCTCGGTCACGGGTTCGAGGCCTAGGTGGGGCAGTCGCCATGTACTGGACGTAGGTCGGTGGTTTTTCTCCCGGGAAGTCCGGCTTTCCTCCACCACCCAACCTAGAACGTCCTTAAATGACCCTGACTGTTAATAGGACGTAAAGCAACAATACAACTTTATCAGACAAATAATCCCGCTTTATCAGGAATCATGGCAATAACATGATTAATCACAATTGGGGGTACATTATTGTATGTAGTTGCAGTCACATATATAGGTTTACAAAACAAAATTTTCTTTATTTCGTTTTTTTCATCTCAGATATCAACGACATTCCTGTGATCAGTAATATACCGACTGGACTGTCCCTGTCTATTCCTGAAAATTCCGCCATAAGTACAGTCATTCTTGACACTGCTGTTACAGATGGAAACCCTGGAGATACCAATACGTTTTCCGCTGTATTCTCGCCGGCAGAGGGCACAAATTACTTCAGAATCATAAGTGGGAGTATGGTCATTTGAAAACCTATTGGATAATTATATAAAATGCAATCAATTAATATCAATATTTATAGTGCTATAAATTATTTAGCCTTTAAATTCTCATTATAAAATAGATAAGAAATTACCGTTAAGATAAGGTGTTCCATAAGAATAAGTGTCTTCTGTTTCATCGATGACACCCGCCATGTAAATCACTATGATAACAGAAAACCTTCCCTATAGTTCCATCTTTTGTTTCGTAGATGTTACATGCCAGGCAAATTTAGGTTAATCCAATTAAGTAATATGACATTCACTTATGTAAACATAGTGTAAATCTCTTTGTGACGACCGTTAACGTTCCCCTTCTCATCCTACACTGGCATCATACTTTACAATAATGTACATGTTTTCTTATCTTTTATTTTTAAATTCGTATCTACATCAACGAACGAAACATGCACGGAAATTTTTCATGAAGCTGTATTATAAGAGTGATGATTTCAATTTCCCGGCATTTAATTTTCCATTTCTGGATTGCTAGAACCTGCATCCGAAACCTATGGTATTTACATGTCGCAGTTGATTCTATATTCAAGGGTCTGTTACCATTATTGTTGTCAACTGATGACGACTCTTAACAGTGAGTTTCAGACGATGCAGATCAATAAACATTATGGGTAGTTTGACGGTCGTCATAGTAATCTTATTAAGAAATAATTCATTTCATTGTGTGACATGAAGCTGAGCTTATTTCATGTTTTATTAGTTTTGCTGTTATATACTTGTTCTCATTTGAGAATGTGAAATTGCTAACTTGGATTGAGGAGGATTTACATGGCGGGTGAAGCAGGATGCTTACCCTTCAAGAGCACCTGGTCTTATTCTCCTTATATTTTTTTTAGCGTCTCCGTGTAAATCTTTCGTTTTATTTTGCCCTAGTTTTTTTTTCTTTTTAATTTGTATTAACATACCTGTATTTTATTGTGTTTGTATCTAAGCACATCCATCAGTAGGCTGAAAGTGAAGGTTAAGTTATATATATTTGATTGCCACGTGATGTAGACATAGAGGTTTCTCATTGATTGGCATAAATTGGAGTGGTTCTTTGGTTAAATATTAGCAAATAATTTGTCCATGATATTTTGGTAAAACCAGCTGTAACCGACCTCGGCACATAGTGCACCTGCCTATTATGTATGTGGGGGATCAAGGGTATGATGGTTACGGTTAAGACATCGAGAGGGGGAGGTGTCTTTTTTCCACCGGATTTATCTACGGTTATAAACATGACTGAAAACACCGCTTTGAGAAAATAAAATGAATCAATAAAGAATACACATGCTTTGGACTGGTGTGTGTGTGTGTGTGTGTGTGGGTGTGTGTGTGTGTGTGGGTGTGGGGGTGTGTGTGTGTGTGTGGGTGTGGGGGTGTGTGGGTGTGTGTGTGTGGATGTGTGGGTGTGTGTGTGTGTGTGTATGGGTGGGTGTGTGGGTGTGTGTGGGTGTGTGTGTGAGTGTGTGGGTGTGGGTGTGTGGGTGTGGGTGTGTGGGTGTGTGTGGGTGGGTGTGTGGGTGTGTGGGTGTCGGTGTGTGGGTGTGTGGGTGTGGGTGTGGGGTGTGGGTGTGTGGGTGTGGGGGTGTTTGGGTGTGTGGGTGTGTGGGCGTGTGGGTGTTGGGGTGTGGGTGTTGGTGTGGGTGTTGGTGTGGGGGTGTGGGATGTGTGGGGGTGTGTGGGTGTTGGTGTGGGTGTGGGGGTGTGTGGGTGTGGGGGTGTGTGGGTGTGTGGGTGTGTGGGTGTGTGGGTGTGGGTATTGGTGTGGGTGTTGGTGTGGGTGTGGGGGTGTGGGGGTGTGTGGGTGTGCTGGTGTGGGATGTGTGGGGGTGTGTGGGTGTTGGTGTGGGTGTGGGGGTGTGGGGGTGTGGGGGTGTGTGGGTGTGCTGGTGTGGGATGTGTGGGTGTGTGGGTGTGGGGGTGTGGGTGTTGGTGTTGGTGTTGGTGTGGGTGTGTGTGGGTGTGCTGGTGTGGGATGTGTGGGGGTGTGTGGGTGTTGGTGTGGGTGTGGGGGTGTGTGGGTGTGCTGGTGTGGGATGTGTGAGGGTGTGTGGGTGTGCTGGTGTGGGATGTGTGGGGGTGTGTGGGTGTTGGTGTGGGTGTGGGGGTGTGTGGGTGTGGGGGTGTGTGGGTGTGGGGGTGTGGGGGTGTGTGGGTGTGTGGGGGTGTGTGGGTGTGGGGGTGTGTGGGTGTGGGGGTGTGGGGTTCAGGAACCCTCTAGACCGGCCCTGTCATTTACATATCATATAAAAATTTAATCTAAATGAACTGATCTGCAGCTGGTGTGATAAGGCCGACTCAAGTCATCGACTATGAGGAGTTGCTTGGCAATGGAGCGACGTCATTTAATGTCGCCGTCACAGCCAATGATGGTCGGGAAGATTCAGTAACAAAGTACTTCACTTTAGCCGTAACAGATGTCAATGAACAGCAGACCGGATTTACACAAGACACGTATCAAATTTCAGGAGTTGAGGTACACAATCTCATTTAAGCCTTGATTGATATCAACTAGACGATTCACTATTATAAACTACGGTCAACCCTCGTTATCACGAACTCGTATAACTCGAAGAACTTCTTTAATTCGTAGTATCGCCCTGCCTGACTTTACACTAAATATTCCAACTCACTTAAATTTAAAACCCTGTTATCTCGAAGTTTTCTCATGATCCCACCGAGTTCCAGATAACGAGGTTCGCCTGTAATTCAAAATGTAATAAAATAACATCTACTTAATTCAATCATCAATTAATATGTTAATCGGATATGCCTAAAATTTCAGACAACTACCACTTTCCCAGACCTCAGCCCTACGTTGGCCAATTCTGTTATTGACCCAGACGATACGCGAGACACACAGACACTTACCATGGACTGTGGCGCAAACACGGGGTTGTTTTCTATGGACCCTAGCACAGGGCGTGTCACCAAGGCAGCGGAGTATGACCTTGACGCCACGAAGCAGCCATCTGACACTGTCGCGTGCGTCGGTTAGTATTTTAGTCAATACTTCTTCTGAAATTCGGGTTTATTCCGAATGAATAGACTCTTACTATCATTCTGTTGTTCCAATGGTATTATCAACCAACTCTAATTATTAATGAGATATAAATAATTCCATTTATGTATTTATGCTACAGTTTTAAGACTATATCAAATCACGTGACAATGTACACACGTATATATTACCTTCCGAAATGATCACGGAAGGCGTCTTTATGTAGATTCATACGATTTTTTTATTACAAAGTCGCTTAATATCCAATCAATAATTTATCATCGGAAGGGATAAGATAAATAGAGCTCTACCAGAACTTAATTTTATTTGTCGATTTTTGTGTTCATGTATCAGATATATTCAGGGTGACATAGGTATATTTCTAAATTATGCATTATGTATTCACTTCGAAATATTTATTGGAAAATGTATTTTTTTTATTTTAATTTAACAACATTTGAGTTTCTAAACTGATTCTGCAGTAACGGCAACAGATGAAGCCGGACACACTGTCACGACTAATTTGAACATCATCATTAACGAGGAGAACGACAATCCACCTGAACTAAACCAAGATGTATACACCTACTTCCTTCCAATTAATACCGGAGCGGGGTCACAGTTCGGTCCCTTCTCCTCCACTGACGCTGACGTGCTCACTGACCATACAGACACCACCTACACCTTGACCGGGGGGTCGGGACTGTTTGGCTACACGGATTGCTGCAGGTAACTTATCTTTTTATAGATTTCATGTAAAAAGTTCACGAGGCGAGAGCCTTAAAATGTATAGCGCTGTCTTGAATCATTTATGTATAGAAATTCTTATCGTTTGAAGCTTCCCCTCTACAAAAACGGCCATTCTCATTATATATATATATATATATAGAGAGAGAGAGAGAGAGAGAGAGAGGGTGAGAGAGAGTTGAAAGAAACATTTTGAAACTTCCCCTCTACCAATATGGCCATTCTCACTATATATATATATATATATATATATATAGAGAGAGAGAGAGAGAGAGAGAGAGAGAGAGGGGGTGAGAGAGAGTTGAAAGAAACATTTTGAAACTTCCCCTCTACCAATATGGCCATTCAAACTATATATATATATATATATATATATATAGAGAGAGAGAGAGAGAGAGAGAGAGAGAGAGAGAGAGAGTGAGAGAGAGTTGAAAGAACCATTTTGAAACTTCCCCTCTACCAATATGGCCATTCTCACTATATATATATATAGAAAAAACTTGATTTGACGAGATGCGAGTAAATTATAAATAAAAATGATTTTTGACAAAAGAAGAAAGACGTTACATTTTGCACTAGCGCTTTCACTGTATTAGATCTTCAGGTGCATAGTAACTGTACAAGTCCATCTTTATTTCGTTCTTAAGTAAATAAGAGACACAAAAATTATTTTTTCAAAATTCAGTTTGGCGATTTGTGCAAACAAACATGTAGATATTTGAAAAATCATGTCGTCAATATTTTTATTGTATTTTTAATATATAACTACCATAAACACTGTTGAATAATGGTGCTTGTTGTCAATGTTTTAGGATTGTTCTACTCATTTCAGTGAATGGAAATGTCAGTATATATGTTTCAACTCTAATGTTGGTTATGCATAATCTTATCTTTGTCAAAATAATATTTATGTTTAGACATATCCCCTTTAGCTCAGATGCTGACCTTGTGGGAGATGACTTATTATCTTACTATGGACTTACAGGTCCAATCTCCTGGTGTTGCTGACCTTGTGGGAGATGACTTATTATCTTACTATGGACTTACAGGTCCAATCTCCTGGTGTTGCTGACCTTGTGGGAGATGACTTATTATCTTACTATGGACTTACAGGTCCAATCTCCTGGTGTTGCTGACCTTGTGGGAGATGACTTATTATCTTACTATGGACTTACAGGTCCAATCTCCTGGTGTTGCTGACCTTGTGGGAGATGACTTATTATCTTACTATGGACTTACAGGTCCAATCTCCTGGTGTTGCTGACCTTGTGGGAGATGACTTATTATCTTACTATGGACTTACAGGTCCAATCTCCTGGTGTTGCTGACCTTGTGGGAGATGACTTATTATCTTACTATGGACTTACAGGTCCAATCTCCTGGTGTTGCTGACCTTGTGGGAGATAACTTATTATCTTACTATGGACTTACAGGTCCAATCTCCTGGTGTTGCTGACCTTGTGGGAGATGACTTATTATCTTACTATGGACTTACAGGTCCAATCTCCTGGTGTTGCTGACCTTGTGGGAGATAACTTATTATCTTACTATGGACTTACAGGTCCAATCTCCTGGTGTTGCTGACCTTGTGGGAGATGACTTATTATCTTACTATGGACTATTCTTTCCTGTTTTTCCTTGCTGTGAAAGCAGTACAGTTGTATATTCTGTTTCTCCCTGAAGTGATGTCAGTTCTGTTTGATATTTTGTTATATAATAATATAAACTTTATTTATTTTACAACAATTGCAAAACAAGTTATGTCGACTTATTCTTATCACACTCGTTGGCCCGAATGTAAGCGCGCGAGGGGTCTTATTGTGGGAGGAAACGGGAGTACCCGGGGAAAACCCACGTGGTCGGACATGTGACCCCTTACCTTTTCACGTCCGTTCACGGGAATCGAACCCCGGTGGGCTAGGTGAAAGGCGAGTGCGTTACCACTGCGCCACCCGACCACCCATATTTTCTTTCTCCCTGCAGTGACAACAGAACTGTATTATATTGTTTATCCGTGTAGTGACGTCAGTACCGTATTATATTGTTTATCCGTGTAGTGACGTCAGTACTGCATTATATTGTTTATCCGTGTAGTGACGTCAGTACTGTATTATATTGTTTATCCGTGTAGTGACGTCAGGACTGTATTATATGTTTTATCCGTGTAGTGACGTCAGTACTGTATTATATGTTTTATCCGTGTAGTGACGTCAGTACTGTATTATATTGTTAATCCGTGTAGTGACGTCAGTACTGTATTATATTGTTTATCCGTGTAGTGACGTCAGGACTGTATTATATGTTTTATCCGTGTAATGACGTCAGTACTGTATTATATTGTTTATCCGTGTAGTGACGTCAGTACTGTATTATATTGTTAATCCGTGTAGTGACGTCAGTACTGTATTATATTGTTTATCCGTGTAGTGACGTCAGTACTGTATTATATTGTTTATCCGTGTAGTGACGTCAGTACTGTATTATATTGTTTATCCGTGTAGTGACGTCAGTACTGTATTATATTGTTTATCCGTGTAGTGACGTCAGTACTGTATTATATTGTTTATCCGTGTAGTGACGTCAGTACTGTATTATATTGTTTATCCGTGTAGTGACGTCAGTACTGTATTATATTGTTTATCTGTGTAGTGACGTCAGTACTGTATTATATTGTTTATCCGTGTAGTGACGTCAGTACTGTATTATATTGTTTATCCGTGTAGTGACGTCAGTACTGTATTATATTGTTTATCCGTGTAGTGACGTCAGTACTGTATTATATTGTTTATCCGTGTAGTGACGTCAGTACTGTATTATATTGTTTATCCGTGTAGTGACGTCAGTACTGTATTATATTGTTTATCCGTGTAGTGACGTCAGTACTGTTTTATATTGTTTATTCGTGTAGTGACGTCAGTACTGTATTATGTTCTGTTTATCCCTGCAGTATCTACAACAATGTCAACTTCAGTACGACAACTTATAACGTGGGTGATTCCTTCCCTATGACATTGACCGCATTAAACAAAAATGGTTTAAAAGATACTGCTACCGTTAATGTCATCCTCACTGATCCAGTCACCACAACAACTGTCACTGCTGCCACTACAACCACAACGGTAGCATCGGCGGCAACGTTAGCGTTTCCAAGCTTTGGTGGCAGTGGGAGTATTTCAAGCTTTCTTGATGACCCTGAAAACCTCGGATGGTTTATCCCGACTATGATCCTCTTAGCCGCCATGTTAGCGTTGCTAGGATACATGATATACAGATGTATTCGGAACCCTGGAACATTTGCCAAACTTGCCAATATTTGGTAAGTATCAACACAAAATTCATCAGCTGAACGATGCAGTTTGATTTCAATATTTCAAGTTCTAAATGTTGAAAAAGTGCTATCCATTTGTGTCTTTTATGCAATTTTCTAGTAGTACACAATAGGGAGGGAACAAATCTGAAAAAGAATAATTGTATGAAAAGCTTTCGTTTTCACTGCATTATGCTCTAGAAATTCATAGAGATGATTGGTTTTCTTTCGCTGAAGCAAGGGAAGGACTTTAAACTGTAAATGGCCACAACGCAGTAAGATGGCTACCAAGACAAAACCACCAAAAAGAATCGGAGCAAAAAACACTAAAGGGAACAAAGGAAACAAAGGTAGGTATCACAGATGAGTCCTAGAAGGACCAAACAACTGTATGATATAGTATCACTGACAAGTCCTAGAAGGACCAAACAACTGTATGATGTAGTATCACTGACAAGTCCTAGGAGGACGAAATAGCTGTATGATGTAGCATTACTGACAAGTCCTAGAAGGACGAAACATCTGTATGATGTAGCATCACTGACAAGTCCTAGAAGGACCAAACATCTGTATGATGTAGCATCACTGACAAGTCCTAGAAGGACCAAACATCTGTATGATGTAGTATCACTGACAAGTCCTAGAAGGACGAAACATCTGTATGATGTAGCATCACTGACAAGTCCTAGAAGGACCAAACAGCTGTATCATGTAGTATCACTGACAAGTCCTAGAAGGACGAAACATCTGTATGATGTAGCATCACTGACAAGTCCTAGAAGGACCAAACAGCTGTATCATGTAGTATCACTGACAAGTCCTAGAAGGACGAAACATCTGTATGATGTAGCATCACTGACAAGTCCTAGAAGGACCAAACAGCTGTATCATGTAGTATCACTGACAAGTCCTAGAAGGACGAAACATCTGTATGATGTAGCATCACTGACAAGTCCTAGAAGGACGAAACATCTGTATGATGTAGCATCACTGACAAGTCCTAGAAGGACCAAACATCTGTATGATGTAGCATCACTGACAAGTCCTAGAAGGACCAAACAGCTGTATCATGTAGTATCACTGACAAGTCCTAGAAGGACCAAACAACTGTATGATGTAGCATCACTGACGAGTCATAGATTGACGAAACAACTGAATGATGTAACCTCACTGATGAGTCCTATAAGGACGAAACAACTGTATGATGTAACATCACTGGCGAGTCCTAGAAGGACCAGACAGCTGTATGATGTAATACCACTGACGAGTCCTAGAAGGACCAAACAACTGTATGATGTAACATCACTGACGAGTCCTAGAAGGACCAAACAACTGTATGATGTAACATCACTGACGAGTCCCAGAAGGACCAAACAACAGTAGTATGTAGTAGCACTAACGAGTACTAGAAGGACCAAACAACTGTATGATGTAACATCACTGACAAGTCCTAGAAGGACCAAACCGTAAGAGAGTAGGCGAGCGATAGAGAGAGAGAGAGAGAGAGAGAGAGAGAGAGAGAGAGAGAGAGAGAGAGAGAGAGAGAGAGAGAGAGAGAGAGAGAGAGAGAGAGAGAGAGAGAGAGAGAGAGAGAGAGAGAGAGAGAGAGAGAGAGAGAGAGAGAGAGAGAGAGAGAGAGAGAGAGAGAGAGAGAGAGGGAGAGAGAGAGAGAGAGAGAGAGAGAGAGAGAGAGAGAGAGAGAGAGAGAGAGAGAGAGAGAGAGAGAGAGAGAGTATTTATTACGCTGTTATTCTGGTCTAGACTTGTTAATGAACATTAAATTCCGTACACTTTCATAACACGGCATAACATTGGCAACTCTGATACACTTAAAAATAAAATTCGTTACAAATATCATCTACTATACTGTACTTGTTAACTTTGAAAATTAGCCGGTCTCGAGAATAAGTCATCCTGAAAATAAGCCTTGGACTTCTTACCGCAAAAGGATCTTGGAAATAAGATGGTTTCGAAAATAACTCCCTATCAAAAATGTCATGTGCAACATTAAAAATCCCAATTTGTGAAGGTTCGATAATGAATACAGTGTGAAAAAACAAACAAACCTTGAGAAAAGGTCAGCATTACATGTTAATGTGGAATATAAAATATAAACAGAATATTCATGTTTTACGATGGAATTGTACTTTCCGTTTCCAAAAAGTAATGAAAATTGAAGACGCATGTGAATTATGTGGTATATCCTTATTAAGTTTTGCCAACAGTCATTGTAGACATACATATCTGCTACTCGTAGGGTATAGAATGAATTAAGTCCGAGACAGTCCGTACAGTTTACTGTTCTCCTTGTGATCTCGCATTTTGTTTACCATTTAAGTTCGCCAGTTGGATAAAAACGACCAGAATTATGAATGGAACATTTGGTCCCACTCCGACTTCGGAAACAAGGCGTAAGTGTTATCTCCTTATACTAGCATTTATTAATATAAAAATACTCCATTACGTCTTACTTACAGGTTCGGAATAAAATCGCAGTCAGTTAAAATCCAATCTATCTCTACATCATTTGAGTTATCTGCTCTTGCCAGCAGGTATTGATCGTTACGTTGTTACTTTGCATCAGAGAGTGTCCCCACAAACAGATGACATAACTATCAATATCTATTCACAAGAGAAGATAACTCTGCATCATGAAAAAAGATAAGTGTTTATAACGAGATCTCGAACGACCAAACTGTTAGATCATTTGATATTCACCACATTTCCTTATCATATCCTGCTCTCGTTTTTCTCTCGTACATAACGCGGTTTTATTTGGCAGAAATCATTAAACAATAACAATCGCTGACAATTCCTGTTCATTTCATATCTTATGTCTATTTCATGTCTCCTTATGCATGTCTTTTATGTCAATTATATATATATACATATATATCCACATCCATCCGTACCTATTCGCTGATGTTATTCATCATCGTCTATTTCAATTATAAAAGGACAATTCATTCAGTTATCCTATATGGTTTCATTATTTGCCAATAGATTAGCGATCACGTTTTCCTACGGCACGTGTTCTCGTTTACTCGTTGAAGTTTGGGTATTGACGACATGTCCAGTAATTAAATTGAAATTAAAATAAATCAGTGTTCTATTTTAGCCTTGATTGACAATTGACCTGTTTTGATAATATTGACATGTTGGTATTTTTGTTTTTATAAAATATTTAATCTATATATCAAATGGAAAGCACTCGTTGTAGACAAAATATGTTAATGATTCCTCTAAAACAATGCCATTCTATACGAATATAAATACAAGACAGTTCAATCGATGGACAGACATTCTGCTTCTCTGTCATGTCTTTGATCATTGTTACCCAGGCATTGTCATATACACTGTTATCAATACAATTTCAGTCGAGATTACATTCTAATTTCTTTAGTTGAAATAACATGTAAATGTGCTGCTGTAAAGCTAACGTATTTTATTTCAGTGTCGAACATCGATAGAGAAGTGAGATGGTAACTGGATCGTAACAGTGAAATAATTTCGGACGTTGGCATCAGACATTAAATGATCGGCCCAGTCATTTTAATCAATATTATCATGAATATCAGAGTTTGTATAAATTACAGACAAAGGTTTCCTTAATTGACATATTTATTGTAAATTTCAGTGTAGATTTCATTTTGTTTCAATTTTTTTGGAATTTTTGTAATCACTGGTTTTATATGATACAAAGTTTATAAATACGATATAATGTCATTATCGACATTGTATTAATGTGCAGTAGCATTTTGAAAAGTAACATTTATAAAATTTATTGGTATTGACAACACATATCTTATGAAGTGTCTTAAAAACAAGTAACATTGTCTGTAGTCATGTATGTACCTGAACAGTTTGATTTTAATGACTTACAGCGTATTCAGCTTACTTTACAATCCTTCTGATACAAGCAGTCAAACAACACTGTTACAACCTAGCTCATAATGCCATATAGTTAAGATAATGTAACGAAAAGTTGATCTTAATCAATAATAGACTATGATCACAGTAAAGTTTATCTTAATCAATAATAGACTATGATCACAGTAAAGTTGATCTTAATCAATAATAGACTATGATCACAGTAAAGTTTATCTTAATCAATAATAGACTATGATCACAGTAAAGTTTATCTTAATCAATAATAGACTATGATCACAGTAAAGTTTATCTTAATCAATAATAGACTATGATCACAGTAAAGTTGATCTTAATCAATAATAGACTATGATCACAGTAAAGTTTATCTTAATCAATAATAGACTATGATCACAGTAAAGTTTATCTTAATCAATAATAGACTATGATCACAGTAAAGTTGATCTTAATCAATAATAGACTATGATCACAGTAACATTGAGACCTAAAAAAGTTTAAAATTAACACACGACAAAAAAAAGTTTCACCAATTGAATGATGAAAGCAACATTTATGGTGTTGAGTAAAGCAAAACAACATATGATCGCATTTATAGTTCAACCTGTCTATAAGGACTACTAAAGGGAGCGGAGAAAAGTGGCCCTTATACACAGATGATCTTTATACAGAGGTGATCTTTATACACAGATGACCTTTATACACAGATGACCTTGATACACAGGTGACCTTTATATATTTGTTCAAGTACAAAGAATTGTATTGCATAAGAACCCAAAAAGTTGCATTTATACACAAATGACCTTACTACACAGGTGATATTTTTCACATGTGACCGTTATATACAGGTGGCCTCTATACGCAGGTGACCTTTATACACATATGACCTTTATACACAGTTGATCATATTTGTTCAAGTACAATGAATTGTATTACAAAGGAACCAAGAAAGTGGCCTTTGGATCAAACTGTTCTTAAGTTTTAAATGTTAATTAACGATATCAACTCAACAATGTTTAACGCTACTGTCAACGATATGTTTTCATCTTCTAAGGCAAATCTTGTACAAAACACACAAGTGAATAGTACCTTTTAATACAAATTAAGAATTAGATAGAGTAGGGTCAAAGATTGTACAAAAGACACACAAGTGAATAGTACCTTTTACTACAAATTACAAATTAAGACACACAAGTGAATACAAAAGACACACAAGTGAATAGTACCTTTTACTACAAATTAAGAATGAATACTACAAATTAAGAATTAGATACACAAAGATTGTACAAAAGACACACAAGTGAATAGTACCTTTTACTACAAATTAAGAATTAGATAGAGTAGGGTCACAAATTGTACAAAAGACACACAAGTGAATAGTACCTTTTAATACAAATTAAGAATTAGATAGAGTAGGGTCACAAATTGTACAAAAGACACACAAGTGAATAGTACCTTTTAATACAAATTAAGAATTCGATACAGTAGGGTCAAAGATTGTACAAAAGACACACAAGTGAATAGTACCTTTTAATACAAATTAAGAATTAGATAGAGTAGGGTCACAAATTGTACAAAAGATACACAAGTGAATAGTACCTTTTAATACAAATTAAGAATTCGATACAGTAGGGTCAAAGATTGTACAAAAGACACACAAGTGAATAGTACCTTTTAATACAAATTAAGAATTAGATAGAGTAGGCCCAAAGATTGTACAAAAGAGACACGAGTTGAAAACACCTTTCAATGCTGAAGAGTTAGATAGGGGAGAGCCAAACAATGAATGAAACTGCATCACACAGCTGTTCCGTCCTTCTAAGGTGATGCTAAGAGCCTAAATTTGAAGCCTACGAGGACTGAGGAAAATCCAAAGTGATCAAAAATCTAGACGGGAGGTGCAGTAACCCCATAATTATATAAATTTCGATGTTTTCATATATCTGATAATTGTAGAACAGCTTCAATTACATATGTGTATTTCAAACCGTGCCACTATTTAAATGGATTAAAACGTGGCATGCAGGTTGATGAATGACAAATCTTGAATGATTTCACGTACAATAATAATCACTTTTTTGTATTAAGTTAATGCATGATCATCCTTGCACATCAATATAATATTCGCACATCAAAAGGTCATAAACATCTGAATAATGAAAATTGCAAAGCATCAATATCTTACCCATATAGAGCTTCCATGCAAAATATCACCGTCTAATGACTATCCCTGAGCGTATCACTATGAATTTCTTACATGACAGGTGAACAGACGGAATGACGGACGAACAGACGGACAAACCATGGGTAATGTTTTATACGCATGATTTCTTGATGTCAGGGACAATTGATGTCCAGTGTAGCAAATATAAAACATTTACTCTAATATCCATTTTATAGTGACATTTTTTCGAAAAGTCCTAAAAACGACATTAAATGGCTCTGTCAAGTGGTTAATGATGGGTAATCAATTGGAGGTAACAGTGATGTAGTGATGTGTCTTTGAATTATTTTCCTGTCATCTTAATGAATCACTTTATCAAGGTAACACCTTACTGACACCTTACCCATTGCCAACTAAAACGGATTCAAAATGTCAACAACTGTTCACACTAAGACAATTTTACTCCCAGTAGAGCTAGTTCTTGGTGGGTAGACACAAATTCGAGACTGTCCAAATAGTAATTTCAAGCCTAGAACAAAAAATGTCATTTCAAAAATATGAAGCCCCATATTGTCAACTTCAATACAATTTTACCAATTTAAGATTTTATTTCTAACATTTCAATAAAAGGAAATTAAAATGAAGTAATCTAATAAATAAAAATGGCCCCTATAGCTATATATAGCTTATCTAATTACCATTTTCATATAGTTGTCTTTTTTAATTTAAATGTGAATTACTTTTTTAGATTGAAAGTAAGTCGACGAAGTAGACGACGTTTACCTTCCCACAACACATGGTCTTTAAATAATAAACTATTTATTTTACCACTAATGCAAAATAAGTTTTTCCAACTTATATTTAATCATTTTTGTTGGCCCGGATGGAAGCGCACGAGGGGTCTTACTGTGGGAGGAAACCGGAGTGCCCGTGGAAAATCCACGTGGTCGTTCATGTGACCCTTTCGAACCCCGGACGGCTAGGTGAAAGGCAAGTACGTTAACACTGCGCCACCCGACCCAACCTTTTCTTTTTCCAGATATTTTGCAATGGTTTCATTGCATTTGAGTTTGAATTAAATAAGAGGCTCAATAATAATAATGTGGACCAGTTTTGGCCGAAACTTGTTATGCTAGCTCCGTTGTTTGACGCTGACATCTTGAATGAAGTTTTAATGAAAGTTTACTTAATAACATTTCCAAATACTAATATTATGTAAAGTAACCGTGAGGTTATCAAGTTTACGGCAAGACTCTTATTCTACAATAAAGTACACAAATCTAATTTATCTAAACTCTACATTGAAATATAAAATTTTAAAACATATCTAAACTTTTTTTCTTCTCCTTCTTATATATATATATAT